ATAGGTCCCACCTATCCAGTCCTCATCCCATTCTCTGAGAAAGGTAAACCATATTAACCACTTCCACATTATAAAACCTTACTGATTTTAGAGCTAAGCCAATCTAATTGTGCACTTCCTACAATGTGAAAGAAAAACTTGGGTGTTGTTGTTGGAGTTTCTCCTGTCGCGTTCATTACCATTATTCCTGGTTCACATTGAGTGGCATTACGTAGAGTGTGTGAGTCAACCCGGTCTCATCCCAAATCGTCATATAACTGACGTTTTGGGACGTCTTTTGACCATACGTCAATATTCGCCTTTTTAGGGCCCCCTTAAACGTCGGTAGATGAGGTTATGGGATCCTAACTCTACCCCATACCTAAACTTAACCCTAAACCTAACCCGTCACCTAACTGACGTTATAGGTAAAGCGTCAGTTGTATGACGGCCCGGGATCGCCATCTACCGACGTTTAAGGGGGCCCTAAAAAGGCGGATATTGACGTATGGTCAAAATACGTCCCAAAACGTCAGTTATATGACGATTTGGGATGAGACTGTGTTATGTGAGTAATTGAAAAGGAGCGAGTGAGAAATTCTGTAGGAATGTTTGCCTCAGAGCTCGACATCAAATGTTGCAAATTCTAACATCAGAGCCAGGTCAAAGATCAACTTGGTTTAAAAAAAAAAACACCTCGGGTTTGGCATAACCAATGATGTCTGCAGGGCTTTAGCAGTTCCCATGGAATGTGAGCTTTTAGAAAATTAAACAAATCATTCTACAAGGACTGTGGCAACATCTGGCCATAGTTTTTTTCCACGTGTTTGTTTGCTAAAACTGAACGACAAAAATTTAAAAGAGTTTGTACATTGCTAAAGCTCTTCTACCGTTCTATGGATTAGCGCACAACAAAGCCGAACATTTACGGCTGTCTAAAACTCACGGGGGTCCAGATCCTGACAGCGTGTGTGTCCAGGGGACCCCAGGCTGTTGTTCCTGGCAGGCCCCTGTCACAACTCTCCACCTCCCGATACTCTCCCCTCTCCGCCTCCCGCGGCCCGGCCGCCCCTGTTCATACAAGCTAGGACAATGTGCATGTAATTAGCAGTTCTATGTGGCAGAAGCTGGTGTCTTGCTGCCTCATGGGCACACGCAGAGTTGGCTCTGGAGACTCACACACTAGAAGCTTGGGACTCTGGTTGAAATGGTCACTGTTCAGACAGCAGGATGCTAGAGGGAGGCTGTCTTTCCAATTATCACCCAGCAGCAGTTCACAGAGGTGCCAGACAGCAATGCAAACAGATGCCTGAGAGAAATAAGCAACTTCCCATTCATGTTCCGTTTGCCAGTCACTTGTGGGAAGGAATTAAGATCCATAATATGTGGGTTAACAGTTGTTGGCTGGGATACAAATGGGACAAAAGTGGAATTCTATGAGCCATAAAGTAAATTTTGCTGTGGAATTAAATGTTTGACTGTTTCTCAGTTCTGTGTGAGCTAAAGGAAAGAAAAAAAAATTCCACCCAAGAAGATGAGAAATCCTTCACTACTCTTCTCGGTTACAAAGCTACAGAACAGGATGGCAATGTAAAATGGATACAAACTGACAACGAAAGGGAATATATGGAGTGAGAGAAAATCTATATGAGATTTCCCCTCACCCAAGGCAAACGGAGAGGCTGAGAGATTTACGTAATTGCTGAAAAGTTTGGATTTCTTTTTATGTTCAAGTGTTCCATTTAAAAGCAGTCTCATGTCTCATGGTATGCTAATGGCTTTTTTCTTCAGACAGGTCTTTGGCTAGCCCTTTCCCTTCCCTGCCAGAAGTGCTGGTCTACACCATCCATGCCAAGATTTTCCATAATCTGGCCACTCACTTTCCATTGGGTGCAATACATAAAATGGAAAGGTCAGTTTAATGTCAACTGTCCGGCCTTAACTCACAAAACTTGTATCGTTTTACAAATAAGATCCTTTGTTTTGACATTTATAGTGCATTTTTTATTGCTATGTGTAGTTCAATGAAAACGCAGGTCAATTCAATTTGATGACTAACCTTTTAACTTATTTCAATCTTTTTTTTTTCAGCGCAGCCAAGTTATGATTAAAATACAAGTCACAATCTATTTTCTTACTCACTTCGTCTTATTTGTAATGTCATGCGCTCAGTTTTTAAACGCATTATGACTTTGTATGTTCAGCCTAAGGGCAGCTGTTATTTTTCTCGAGCTCTCCAAGCGCACAAGCATCCTGCCTGTAGTCCAGTTCCTCTCTCATGACCGCAGAGAATTAAAAAGAAAATGACACAATACCCTTCTCCTTAATGAAGACATACATTAGAGTATGTAAGACAGAGATGCTTCTGCTGCTGTATAGTCTGATCGTGCTCAAGGGTGCAACACGGCTGTTTGGGGGTCACTATGTGGGTAAGAGTTTTTTACTTGAAGGTCTGACCCTAGAAGAGCTGACAGACAGCTCAACACATGTAGAGTATTGCTCTCCTTATCACGCTCATTCTCCACAGTATTCCACAGGTGGAAGCTCTCTGGACATTCCTCACTCCTGACGTGAACAAGCGAATAGAATAAAGCAGTCTGTAAATCTGGCACATCACCCTTATTGACACAAATCATAGATTTATGGACTCATGTGTGTGTGCATTAAAGGAAGTGTAAAGCACATGTTTTGCAGCTTAACTTCACATGCTTAAAGCTTCACTCTGTAGTTGAAACGGTTAAACGCTGTGCCCAGATCCTTTAAGAGTATTTTTAAAGAATACTTGTTTAACATGTGTAAAGAATACTCATACAATACCAGATTAAAGCAAAGTGAGGTGCATTACTCTGTAAAAATTGTGATTAATAAATTATGACAACACTTTTTTTTTTTACATTGCTTAACTGAAAATAAAACTTAACCCTTATGCTGCATTAGGGACATTTTTGGTCTTTTGCAGTTTAATTTCTTTGACCATTTTGGCTGTTTTAATGCACAAACATCCTTTCATTTTGAAGCAAAAGCATTATATTTGCATTATATAGTGTATTCCACCAGATGACGTCACTACATATTTATTCCCTATGGGTGGAAATGCACCTTATTTTAGGCAATAGGCAATGTTTAATAGGTGGCCATTTTTGGTCTCTAACGCGCTATGTGGGATTTTTTGCAAAGTGGGACTGTGATAATCCAAATCTAAAGTTTTCTCTTTGCATTTAGTTTATTGAAAATAATTGAATTTTTGTGTTTTTTCCTCTTATACAAATCGATGGTTTCGCAAACAAAACTGGTAATTAAAGGGTTAAAATCCTGAAATTGAATACATTTTTGGTAGTTATGATGAGGACTGATGCTGGTTAAAAGATTTAACTTGGTAAAAGTGGAAAATAATAATAATATATAATATTTTAGGCAATGTTTAATATGTGGCCATTTTTGGTCCTTTGGTCCGGTGTTAAAAATCTAATGCAGCACAAGGGTTAAAGGAGTCAAAGTAGTTCACATTTTAAAAACCTTTTGTTGATAATTTACTCACCCCCATGTCATCCAAGATGTCCATGTATTTCTTTCTTCAGTCGAAAAGAAATTAAGGTTTTTGATGAAAACATTCCAGCATTTTTCTCCATATGCACTTTAACCAAACGGTTCAAGGTCAAAAAGACACTTTCAGTACAAACTGCAGACTGTTCAAAGGGCTTTAAACGATTCCAGACGATGAATAAGGGTCTTATCAAGCGAAACGATCTCTCATTTAAATAAAAAATAAAAAAGTTTAAGTTTTATAAGCTCAAATTGTCTCCTTGCTCTGTTCTGTGATGCTCGTTTGTGACTCTCCTGTTCGAACTCGTTCATCAAAATGAACGAATCTTTTTCCGAGTCAACTTGTTCACTTCGTTTGTTGAATGAACCAAATGACATGAAAAAAGATTCGTTCATTTTGAGAAAAACGTGTAAAGAATGACATGGATATCTTTGATGACATGGGGGTGAGTAAATTATCAGTTTTTCAACTTTTCAAGTTATACAAGATTCAACTCATTAAATCAGTTTAATTATCGTTGAAATGACTTACACATCCAAGTTGATTGTACTCAAAAACTTAAGGCAGTAACTTTTTTTAACAGACATCTAAACATTTGTTTTCTTTTTTTGACTAGAGGAAAACCTAGCTCTCCTCTTTAATCTATTATAATAATAAATAACTTGCCCTGTCAGACAAATATATTTTACCTGGATGCAACCTTTATTTTATTTTTTGATACAAACAATAAAGAACATTAAAGCAAACTTGAGCCAAAATAAACTTCACAACCTTACCAAACTTCTCAATATGGTAAAAGTGGGTTCTCAAAGTGAGGAAGGAATTTAAATGTAGTAAGTTTATGAAGTTTCTCACCAGATGGGGGCACTACGACTGCAAAATGGGCACCAAAAACCATGAAAAAAAGTCATGTAAAATATCTCAAGAGTGTCAGAACTCAGATTATCTGTACAAAAAGTATCTGAATCATTGCATGGTATAGCCTAGTTGGATACAGTGCCAATATAAATAGCATAATAACCATTTCTCAGTTAAAACAATTGTTTATTGGGTATGTAGAAATTCATCTATTTTATTTATTTATTGATTGATTTATTTATTTTTATAATCACTTCACTAAGTAGCCTAATTTCTGTACAGTAACTCACTTTAACCTTTCCTGGTGAATAGTATACTATAGGCTTTTCGCAATATAAAATCGTGTCTTGTTTTCATGTCTTGTTTTCTGGGGATTTCTCGCTTTGTCATTTCAAAATGCAGCTGAAAATAATGTCTTGTCCTTTTTGAACTGCGGTAACTAATTCATAAGTTTGTGTTCTTCCACTCAAAGTTAACGGGCATTTGGTGTGTGCTGAGTTATTTGAAGCAGTCCCAACAACTTCTCGAGTCGAGACCCCAAACCAATCCCTGAATGACATCACGTAGATGAGCCAGTAGGAGTGTGGAGCGCAGAGTTTGGGGGCTGGAAATCAAATAGGTACGAGCTCCGCTGAAGTCCCTCTATCACTATCAATGAAGATTTGCATGCTGGACCTAAAAAAAAGCGGAATTGGTGAAGGATGAGAAGGAATTACTTTGGACATTCTGAATGATTCTGCGGACTTTTTATGGGCTTTTCCTTGGCAGCGATGTGCTTTTCTAACTTTTGATGCGCATCTGTATGTTTCAGTGGTGTGGGGAGACTTGAAACTTGCGTTTGAATGAGGAACACTTTTCTCCTGTGTATTTCGAGAAGTTTTTAAAGTTGGAGCTATAGTTCACCGTTAAGTTTTTCCCCCGTGGGACTTAATTTTCTGTTGATAAGACGCGGATACATTTTTTTTTCATATAGCATACGCATCAGGTTGTTTGCGTAGTTTTATTATTTTTGAATTTTGTTCTACTGTTATTAGACTGCTATCAGCCTCAGAGGATATATATGATGCGGTGGGTGCAGTATTGGGGGACACTGGCTGTGCTGTGCGGGCTGCTGTGCTCTGCTGTCAATGGATGCCCGCATAAGTGCAGTTGTTCGGGCTCTCATGTGGATTGCCAGGGTCAAGGCTTCAGGACGGTGCCCAGGGGAATCCCGAGGAATGCCGAGAGGCTGTAAGTACGCCTCTTATCGCGTTATTTGAACACCGATAACATGATGACATGGCGCGTTTCTCTCGTGACAACGTCGCGATTATATGTAATGTAGCCTAATGATGTGAAAGATGCATCTTTTTTTTCCTTTTTTTTTTGGCTTGAATTGATGACTTGTAGTGTCTATTTTACAAATATTGAATGGTAGGCTATTAATCACTACATAATGTAAAAAATAAATAAATAAATAAATTAAGTGCAAGAATGTAAAGTGAAAGTTGGTTTGTACCCCCCTCCCCCCATCTTACAATTTTGACCATTGCTCTAAAAATATTTTAAGATGCAAATAAAACAAAGATTAATAGTACTATTTCAGTCCTTCACTTCCGAATTTGTGTTACTTGCCGTTTCTGTGTAATTCATTTAATTTAAATAATTCTGTTAAACAATAAAAAATGTTTCCATAATTCCATAGCCTATCAAATTTTCTCAGGATTTTTACAAGCAACCGAAGAAAAAGCGATGCTAATTCAAGAATAAATGCACATTTCTTTTCCTTGCAATTATACTTTGAAATACAATAAAATAACCAATCAGTAGGCTAGGCTACATCAGTTTAATAATACATCAAGGCTCTGATTGTGTGAGAGAATGAAACAGCTCTGGTCATGTGACTTTTTAACCAGGCATGAAAAAAGTGTTCACATGAAATCAAGATTTTTCCTTAACATCTCTAACACATTTGTATATACCTGTTGGATTAAATGGTGGAACATACTGTATTTTGTGTAATAGGGCACTATTAGGCTACTATAGTTTTTCTTATTAAGATGTCTGAAGTTGATAAAACCAAATAGCACGATTCTTTATGTTATTTTTGCTCAATTGATCAGGCAGCTGTTATCTTCTTTAAACACTGACAGAATTTAAAGAAAAAGCATGGTCTTTATATATATATATATATATATATATATATATATATATATATCTCAGTAAGGAATTTACTTGGAATTTACTTTATTTTAAAGCACTGTTTGGTTCAATTTAGCAGTAATTCAGTATATAACTGTCAGTATATAACTGTTCAGTGCATTAATGTGAGTGTTTGAAGAGTTTGGAGTCAAGTAAAATCACATTTCAATAATTCGATTCCGATTGTTTTAAATGAGTGATGAGAAATTAACTGCTCAGCTCTTCATATGTGTCCTGAATGTTGAACAGCATTGCATCTGATTCTTTCATCCAGGATAATGAGTTTACACAAACATTAACATGATTAATGGCCATATGGTGTGAGTGTGTGTATGTATCTTGGCTGTATTAGTTGGGGAAGTTGCGGAACCACAAGTCCGTTGAGGGGCGCACTGCAGCTGAAGACCGACTCTCTTATGTGATTAGTTTACTTCTAACCACTGGTGATTTTCAGAAAGTATCCTTAATTTCCCTGTTTCCACCTGCGGCACTTCTGTCATGATAAGCCATGACAGTTCTTTAAATATCATAACCATCTGTTATAACATAATATTTAGGTTTTTTTTTTGTTTTTTGTTTTTTGAATTTGATAGGAAAGGCATCCAGTCTGTTCACTAGCCAGAGGTCTGGTTGAACCTTCCAACCTTTAACCTCTAAAGGTCTTTTCAGTGGAATTTTTCATGTGGAGAGAAAAATAAATAAGGGTCATGACCTGCGGTATATTGGATTTGTTTTAAAATATACCATGTCAGGTTGCGTCTTGCTTAAATTGGAGACAGATGTAAGTCATTCACGGTGTGCAAAGTATTTGTTTAATGACTTTATGAATTGATTTTATGAATCAAAAACCAAGCAAATCACCCAAAACGTGCACCAAATGTAGCAGTTTTAAGGACTCAAAGTACAGGAGGACACGTCTCCATGTCTCCTGGGTACGATTAACACGCCACCAGGTTTCCCTGAGTGTTGATTTAGCTGTAATGACTGCACCTCTGCCCTAAGCAAAGGCTAGTTACCCCCAAATTCCAGAGTTCAGGCACATTTCGCTCTAATAAATGTGCATTTATTTGAAAGGCTTTTCTCTCTTTGACAGCTCATATGATTTTGCGCTCATTAGTAGCTCCTGTTGCAACTGTAATATCCCCTTTCAGTCACTCACACACACACACACTCACACTCGCTCTTTCACTCTTTCATCTCTCTCGCTTTAATTTGCACCAGTTACGCACACACTTAGTAGCGTTTAATAGCAAATTCTCTCCGCCGGAGTCTTAGGCCCTCTCGCAGTTGACACTTCAGGAACAATGTGGCACTTTGTGGATGGCGTATAGGGTGTTTGGTCTACTGGATCAGGATAGAGAATGGCAGCATTCCCTTCCTCTCATCACACTCGGGGTCTCTTAATGAAGTTTCGGTGTGAAACCGCCAACTCCTGCTTTCCCAACTGGTAGCTCCACCCTAGATCGCACATCCGTTTATCAGCATTTGCTTATGCTGCATGTCAGGTTTTTTTTTTTATTATTATTATTGCAGTGAGTCAGTCAGCGGGATAGTGTGTGTGTTTGTTGTGTTGGTGTTGGAGCGAGTCAGGAGGTGGGTTTGTGGTCTCCGGTGCCCTGCTGACCTCAGTGGGCATATGAGGAGCATATGTGAAGTCTCTCGCTCAGTGAGCGTTCACACACTGCAGGCTGCCAGACAGCTGCTGGCACGGATTGTGGGCAAAGACTCAAGGAAGCGATTCGCCACCCAACCTTTATGTTTTTATGTACGGAAAATATTTAATGTGCATCATTTCAGGCAGTGCATCAAAGATAATGCTGTCTTTGGTGAGTCTGGGAGCCAGAAGACCCCTTGTCACGAACAAGAGGTCACTCCGAATTTTCCCCGGACGTCTGTGAATCTTCCAAGCTTGTGTCATGGAAGGCTGGAGTTGATAATGTGCATGCCTCCGGGCCATTTTGGCTTTACGAGGGCCCTTGTTTTGCGGGCTTTGTCACCAAAGCAACACTAGGGCTTCGTTATTTTCATCAGCACATCTTGTTAGTTATGGCTTAGTGTAGCTAGAAGTGACAGTGTTTATCCTAAGCTAACAAATATGAATAAAAGCGTGTGTGGTTTTATGATTTTGTTACTGTGATGTAAGTTTCACAGACTGAAACACTGGGTTGCAGCTAGCAACCAGTAAACAAAAGAATCAAACCATAATTTCAGAATGGTTTGATCAGGATTTTACGAGGCTTTTGGTACGCAGAAAGAAAGCGGATGTGACTCTAATGAACTGTTGGGGTGGAAAAGTAGTTATGCCATTAACTGAATTTTCAGAAGTGTGACAACTTTTGTAGTAACAAGCTCAGACAAATAGTGATGTAGTGTGACATTTATTTGAGTCCCTAGACATTTTACACCCCATTTGCTCCATGTAGTATTTCGTTAAATGCTGCTGTTCGTTTATGTAAAATATGATTTTCCCAACTTCATTGGTTATTTAGTTTAAATGTATGTTTATTGCTGTTAATTGCTTCCAGATGTATTATCTGATATGCTGGGCTTGACATTAACACCGCCAACTTGCCACATTCATGTGGATTTCAGCAATGGCAGCAAAGCCGCCTCATTACTATATTGAGTTCTTTTTCGCTGCTTATTGGGCTTAAAAAGATGTCAAGATGCCGGTTTTTGCAGATATTCTCATAAACAAAGTCAGTTATGTTTTAAAACAGTGTAACAGTGTGGGGTTTTGTGTAACAGTATAATGGATCTGTGCTTTAGATATTAAAGTGACAGCAGCCTAATATACCTGCTGCTAAATTTTAAGATAATATAAAAAAATATCTATATGGCTGTTTTTTCCTCATGGTATCAATGTCAAAATTGTGGCTAGTAACTTTGGTAAACCACTACACTCTCAGAAAAAAAAAGTACACTGGGGCTGTACCTTTTCAAAAGGTACACTTTTGTCCATTTTAGGTGATAATATGTACATTTTAGGTGCTAATATGTACATTTTAGGTGGTAATATGCACATTTTAGGTGATAATATGTCAATTTTAGGTGTTAATATGCACATTTTAGGTGATAATATGTACATTTTAGGTGATAATATGTCCATTTCATTAGCTAAACTGTACATTTCAGGTGCTAATATGTACATTTTAGGTGCTAATATGTACCACTAAGGTACCAATATGTAGCCTTTGGATACAAAAGTGTAGCTTTTGAAAAGGTACAGCCCCAGTGACAGCTTAGATAGTGTAGCCAAATATATTGTCTTTCATAGATTCACATTCACAGTAGTTTGCATTGTTTCATTTGTGGCTTGTGGTGTAGCTATATAGCTTGACTTAAATCTAGCTACTTTCGCTTAGGAAGTAACAACATAGTAACAAAGTAATTAATGAAAAACAACAGCCTTTTTTGGATAAATATATACAAGGAACACAATTGGAAGTAGAGCCAAATTTAGCAAAATAAATAAATCCAATGGTGGCCTGGCACAGAGACTTTTGTTAGATATGGGGACTCTGGTCGGGATCCTCATTTTTGACTGTTGTTCCTGGTAATGATGTTAGGAGAAGGGAGGGGGTATCCTTGGTTACCCCTGGAGTCCAAGATGAGACTTGTGTTATTGATGAGCCTTTTGTAGCCTGGCTGTCATATTGACTTTCACACAGAAGTGTAGAAGATGCCCTTGTCACCTCTCAGCCAAGCGTTACTCTAGTAATTTAAGAACTCATATACTGTGAAAGAACACCAGGCCGTCTGCGCTACTAGATGTCAGGGTTTGGATATAAACCATCCAGGGGGCAAACGTTCAAAAAAGGAATATGAAATAATTCATTTTTTGTCCGCTCTGCTTAGTATGAAGTGGGAGCTCTTCAGTGGAGAATGTATCCAGACATGACTGTAATGAAAATATTTACTGAATGAAACTCTTCCTGATATGGAAACTGCCAACATTGTACATAAACAATGCAGAGGAATTCAAAGACGCATTGGCTTCTTCATTTTCACAGCCTTCATCCTGAAACTCCAATGCTGAGTTAGCCTTTATCCCCATGGAAAGACAGTCCAACCCCCAAATCCAATAAATCCTAAGGTAGATTGTCCAAAGTCAATAAACAATCATCACTAATCATGATAGGTAATCAGGTATTACGTTTTTGTGGTTTTCTAACATGCAGAGATTTGACTGTAAAACATAAAAAAGTTGTATATGGAACCCTGTGACGGGTTCAAGGAATATGGAATTGTTAAGATCTTTTGAGGTGGTAGTAATTATGTCAGGAGGTGCACTTAGGAATTCTGGGACAGGGCTTCTTGTGTCCAGTGGAGATGTGTGGTTGCCACATGGTGGCTGACTGCATGGCTCATGGGAGATGAAAGAGCAGTAATAATCCCCCCCATTTCACCTCACACAAGTGCAAACGAACAAGCGTTTCGGCGAAGAACGTCCAGAGAAACCGAGAAAAGGAAAGTGCTCTGCTATGGGAGAGTGAGGAGGAGGTAATGAGGCATCTACTGGTTTGAAATGCACAAAATAATTACACGCTGTTACATGAAAGTTATTAAAACATCCCTATCTGTGTCTATCCTTTAGCATCTGCTTTCTAATATTCAGTGCCACATGGATGCCTTGGTGAATTACTTCAGTGAAGGAGAAATGTTAATTAAAACAGTCATTTAATAAAAAGATAATAGGTTACAGAAATTAAAGTGTTCCATTGACAGTTATGACAGTGAACTTGTTAATTCAAATGCACAGGATAAGCATAATCTTGTGTGGTCTATTTGTGCTTATCTCAAGGCGTTTAGTTGTAATTAATCAATAGACATGAGAAACATAATTTGTTCTTTTGATGTATCATCTGTTCTGATAATAACTTGTGCATCTTATGAGGAGAATATTAATGTATTAGTATAGATAAGTGGGACCCTCTAAGGCGTCCAAACCAGAGATCTGAAAGGAAAAACTCATTTATGATTCCAAACAGCCACGAGAAGCAGCATTCAAGAGGAAATGGAGCATACCTATCAGCTTTTGAGGACTAGACTAGCATGGCTTTGAGGAAAATAGCAGAAGATTACGACAGGAAACACATTAAGAGGCAGGGTATCGTATTGGAACAGAAGGAAAAAAATGTTTGTTTTCATGCACATTTTTCTTGCGTGACTTTGAGATCTTAGTGTACCTTGGTTGCCTGGGAACCGCCTGTTGCAATATTTGCATATGAAGATATTGTATATTAAAGACTGTTTCCCTCTGACTCAATGGACTAGTTAGAGCTGTTCACTCCCCATTCCCTTAAAATTGCATTAAAAGAAAAAGATACATTATTCAAAGTATCTAAGCAGAACTCCAATCTTCAAGCATGATTCCTTGATTTTCTTAACTTCTCAATAGTTCTACATACAGTTTTCCCACAAATTCCCAGTTTCTCATGCAGAGTCAAAATAACCTCCAGCCAAAATCGCAAAGATTCTTCTCTTTGTCCGGTTTCGTTCTGAATAGCAGACTTAACCAGAGTGGTCTGCCGGCTTATGACCTGGACGAGTTGGGTTGAGTGGTCTAACAGCATGCGTGGGTGGGGTGGGACCCCGAGGGGGGCGCATTGTTAGAGCTGAACACCTGCCGTTTGAATGGGCACCTTATCCCCTCAACAAATTAAAACAAACAATAGCCAGTAGGGGGCTGCCATATCTGTGAACTCCACCTTGTCAGTGTGACTGGAGGTTTGATTGAGTATCTAGAGGAAGTAGGACTTAGTTTGCTCCCCAGGCTTTTAACACGTACTGTAAAAAAAACTGACACGGTTAGGATTGAAGTGAAGGATCGGGAGGGGAGGAAATGTTATTAGAGGGATTACATTGCAAGCAGGTGAGAGGATACGAGATGAGAAAAAGAAGGGAGAGCTATTTGGAGATTAGGACGTGAAAACAGAAAGAGAGTGACATGGAGAGACTGGGAATTTGCGGGAACACTGTATGTATAGAATTAATAAGAAGTTTGGAAAATCAAGGAAACATCATGCATTAAGATTTTGGAGTTCAAATGCATTAAAACAAAGATACATTATTCAAAGGAATGGGAACTAAAATGTTCAAGCTTTATAAAGGCTGTGACCAGCTCTAACAAGTCCATTGAGTCAGATGGGAGACCTCATTAAGTATTTGCAAATAAATATGCAGTCTTTAATATACAATATCTTCATATGCAAATGAAGAAAGGGGTTGGCAAGTTTCTAAAAGGTTTTTGAAAGAAGTCTCTTATTCTCACCAAGGCTGCATTTATTTGACTAAAACTAAAAAAAAAGGTCCCACTTTATATTAAGTGGCTTTAAGTTCTATGTACTTACATTTAAAAATAAGTACAATGTACTTATTGTGGTAATGTTGTATTATATATCACTTTTGCTGCTATTGAGGTGTGATACGGGTAAGGTTAGGGACAGGTGTGGTGGTATGGGTAGGTTTAAGTGTAAGGGATGGGTCAGCTGTGTAATTAATTACAGATGCAATCACATAAATTAATTACAGCCGTAATTACATGCTGTTTTTTCTTAAATATAAGTACAATGTAAAAACATGTATGTACACAATAAGTCCACTGTATCAAATTATTCATTTCAATGTAAGTACATGGTACTTAAAGCCAATTAATATAAAGTGGGACCAAAAAAAAAAACAATAATATTGTAAAATATTATTTGATTATAGTTTAAAATGTAATTTAGTCCTGTGATGGCAGAGCTGAATTATGGCACTAGTCTTCAGTGTCACATGATCCTTTAGATTTATATTATTTTGTGTAAACTGATACTTTTTTCAGTATCTTTGATGAATGTTCAAAAGAACATCACTTAGCCTATTTGAAAAATACATATTTTATAACAGTATAAACATCTTTACTATGATGTTTGCTCAATTCAGTATATGTCCTGAATAAATAATATATTTCTTTAAGAAAAACAATCATTCTGAACTTTTGAATGGTAATCTACCTCAAGAACGATTATAATCATCAACCCTGATAAGTGAAATAAGCTCTTTACATTATCACACAACAGAACACGATAAAAAACAACAACAACAGGATAAATAAAGTCAGCAAACAGTAAAGCAATAATAACCATATCATTTATTTATGCTGCAGTGCATGCTGGGAACTCTCAAACTCATAACATGCATAATTAGCAGTTGTTTAGACAACTCTAGGACAGTTGGGACAACATTTTTCTTTAACTTTTTTTTTCAATTCTGATAATATACATCCCAGACAGCAAACTGACATTGAATCAACGTGGAAACGACGTCTCTCATGACATTGAAACAACGTTGATTTTGCTCATCGAATTAACGTTGAACCAACGTCAGACGCGGCATTCTTCAAAGCTAAATGAAAATCGAAAATTGGTTTGCTTTCATAACGTTGAAACAACGCGTTGATTTCAAGTTGATTTTCCGTTAGTTTTGAAAGAATGACGCGTCTGACGTTGGTTCAACGTTAATTCGATGAGCAAAACAATGTCAGATCAACGTTGTTTCGATGTCATATTTCCACGTTGATTCAATGTCAGTCTGCTATCTTGGATTTCTTTATCTTTATGTTACAAGTAAGTGTGAATGATTCTGATTTTTGGTTTTCAAAGCAGATCAGAGCTTGTTTCTAAACCGATTCTTTTGCTACACACACATTTGATGCCCAAAAATGCTGCCGCCATCTAGAAGAGGATCATGTTCTGTAAATGGCCTTTCCCCTGTAATATGTTTCCTATATGGCTCATATTAGTCTGCTTGATGTGAGTTTCGTGGTTCTGGGGGAATCTTTTGAAATCCAATATGCCTTTAAATCAGATTTATAAATGTTTATGTATATTATGAGAAGCACACTGAGACGGCCTGATGTTAGCGCGCAAGTCATATGTCTCTGTATATTTCTCGACGGTAATCTTTTCAGTGTGGCGGAGTTCCAGTAAACAGCGTCCCACAGAGGAAGTCAGTTCGTATCCATAGGCATGTATACTCATTTCAGTAAATGTATACAATTTTAGACACGCTTGAAACAACTGATAAAATAACAGTCTGGGAAAAGTATAAGATATTGACTAGAGTGGAAAAATACTTAGTTTGGTAATATATAATTCACTCAGATGCAAGAGGAGACGTTTTCCAAACAAAAATGTTCCCATGCGATCTGTCTCTCTCAAGCAGTTTATTCCCATATTTCATTCGCTTTGCTTACACACAGAACAAAATATAATTCTGCTATTTTTTCAGCCTTTAGTTGTCCTTTTTTTGTTGCATTGAAAAGAAAAAGCAGATAAACGCATTGAAAGAAAATAATTGCATTGTACACAGTTATTGTACAGACACGACAGGACAGAAAAGGGCAGGTGTACGCGTGATCCCGAGCCATGTGCGTTGTGTGTGTATGGGAACGTTTAGAGTCGAGGCAGTACAATAGCAGCATGCTGAAAGTGAGTCGCCTCCAGCGCAGTGAATGCGAGGCAGAGTGGCGGAGCTGATGTCGGCCTCTCAGACTCAGTAACCCGCAGCATGGCACTAATGCTCGCTGGCAGACGACAGCTTTGAACAGCGTTGCCCCACGGGCATCTGGCCGTTGAGGCTCTGCCAGGGAGCCTCTGTATTTAAATTCTCTGTTTACTGACTGTGCTGTGAGCTGAGACTTGAAAAATCATGTTTGAAAGCATAAGTGAAATAAAAAGCTTTTAACTCCTTCTCCCCCTTTTTTCTCTTTCCAGGGATCTAGACAGGAATAACATCACCCGGATCACCAAAGTGGACTTCTCTGGCCTCAAGAACCTACGAGTGCTGTAAGATGTCACTCTGTATCTTTCGCTCTTATGGTTAATCCTTGCTTTAACTCCCAAGTGCCCCTCCTCTTCCGTGTTGTCTTTACAGTCAAAGCCATCAAAGGTTTTTCGAGGCCGAAAGCCGGGAGGATTACGGCACAAGTCATAATAAAACAAACTGACTTTTAAGCTGAGTAAATCTGACACGTTTAACATGACCCTTTGACTGAATCTCGCATGAAGTCATTGCCTTAGATGCAGTCAATCTTGTACTTGAGTTTGAAGAATATGTAACAATATATTTCCTTGCAGAAACGTGAACTTTTAAAAATAAAAAAAATAAAAAATGACAGGACGGCTGCTAGTAGAGACGCAGGTCAGTCGTGATCTAGCGAGTTGGGTTCCTCTAGAGAAAGTGTTCTTCCACTTTAATGACTGTAATCATGTGCTGTTTTCTTCCTGAATGAGAGCCTGTAAAAAGAGAGGAATGGAGATAAAAATAAACAAGTGAAAAAAAGAGGAGTAAAACAAACGCCCAAGAGAGCAGTCGTAAGCTAGGCAGCGGCTGGCGGGCTGCACAGAGGCAGTTTAAGGTGGTTTGTGATTAACAGCCATGCCATGTCCCAAAAGCAGCCTCCCAGCCTCGGCACCCCCTTATCTCTCTGGAAGACTTGCACCGTATGATAGCGGAGGGCAAGCCTCCAACTCTTCATGTACGACATTCACCATTTGACTTATTATTTTCCCACATGAAAGTCCTCAGAGAAGTGTTAGCTGCACTATTATGTATTGTTTTAAATGTATTTTTCAAGATAATTTAAAAATACTGTAAATATCAGAATTTGGGGGTCATTGGGGGGTCTACCATTGTGGGGGTTAAACTCGCAGCATATTTATTTATTGAATAATTTTCTTGTGTAAAAGCCAAGGTAACATGCTAATTTGCCGTTCCTGTATTGGAAATAGGCCTAGATTGTGATACTTTTACTGATTTAAGCTATTTAACATAAATTCAGCTGTTCAGCATTAAAAACTTTGCGTTTGCATTTAGCCTCTGATAACATTAAGTTCAGAAACTGAGAAAATACAAGTGTGGACTAACATTAGTTGGGCTTCGATTCATTTTGTATCTTTGCAAACTCCATGCAAAAAGAACAGAAAATGAAATAATAATACTGTTTTTTTTATATATTCGCTGGATCTGATTTTTGTCATGACCCCCGTGCAAATTACGTGCATGTCTCCACATGACATTTTACAACCTGAACTAAACTTGCCTTGTCATAATTTCGCCAAATTATCTGTTATTTTAAAGTCATCATGAAACGAGGTTGTGATAGTCTTTTTTCTCCCCTGTTGTGATGTATATCTGAATGAAGGACTGGGGTTTAGATCTCTTTGTACCTTTATTAATAATAACACTATAGGCAAGCAAACAGGTGATGGGCGACAGTCAAGTACGGGCACAGGGTCGAGTAGTGATGGGTGATTTGGAAACAGGGCTTCATGGCGCTACGAAACTTTCGCGAATCTTTTGTTTCGGATCACTGGTGTCAAATGAGGTGATGTGCAATATATATTATGAGAAAATAAAAGTCTTTTTTGTCCTTTGACGCATATAAACATATTGTAGGAGACATCCAAAATAAAATTAGGAACCTTTAAAATAGCTCAAGATGGGCACTTAGACTTTCCCACACGAAATTTCCCAGAGAAGTGCCAGCTGTACTGCAATTTGTCCTTTGATATCATTTCTCTTGGTTTTTTTTCTCACATGAGTCTACATGTTGGTTACACCATTTGACTTTTGATTTGATTATGAAGTAAATTGTTCATAATAATTTGGAAATTTAAGATTGACCTTACCTTGGCTCATAGAAGGTTTCCATTCTAAAGTCCTCAGGGATGCGCCATCTGCACTGACCTGAGACCTGCCTATAAACCAGCACTTGGTTAATGCTTAAGGCAAAAATAACAAAGACTATTCCAGCAATACCATGTGTCTTGCTTCACCCTTTTAGTTGAGAGGTCTTCTATTCTCCTTGTCAGCCCCTGTGAAAGCATATGTAGGTGTTTGCCTGTGTCCCATATGGTTTCATGCAAAACTTCAAAACATTTCTGTAAAGATGAGAAAGACAAAGAACAGAAACAGGGAGAGATGCTGAAAAATGAAAAAAAAAAAGAAAACTTATTATTCTTCAGCCCACACCAAAACCCATCTGGTCAGGATCGAAAGGGATTACGTTTAATGCCAATACATAAACCATGGTGGGGTTGATCCCCTATTTGTAAAAATGAGGCAGATTGTTACTCAGACTTCGATTTATGTTAGACACAGACTATATGATATGTTTGTTAGCAACAAAAAATGCAATTATTACGAATAAATCAATCGCTTGTGTCTTTGGCCTCACCATGCTGGATCTTGCCTTGAAGCTGAGGTATTCATAAAAACGCCTTAGAGTCTCAGCTTTTCCTGACAGAATGATATGACAAAACATGGATTACGGCTGTAAAAACAGTTGCGTGTCTAAACGTTTTCTTTAAAACATCATTCATAAGCCCAGAAAGCGGAAGTCCACTTTAGAGACACTTTAGGATGTCTTTTGCTTCGGGGGATTGTCTCTCTTTTGGGGGGATTGCTTGTATTATCCGGTGCCGAATATAATTTAGTGGCTGTGCGCTCTATGCGTGTGTCTGCGTGTTAGTTCTAATTCAAAGAGACTCAAATATAAACAAGAAATAGCCATGGAGTTCTGCTGTCTTTGTAATGCATCTGGAAAATTTTAAGGGCCCTGAAATATGACAAAGCCTAGAGAGTAGAAGAGAGCTCTCCGGAACGTTGTCACAGGCAAGCTGGACACGAACGAGGGTCCGCTGAGGCAACCACACACGTCATAAAATCAGAGAAAAATCTGCTCTGGTTTTCATGAGAACGAGGCAGTTTGCTTTTCAGTAAGTCACTGTTGTGAAGTCCTCTTTCAACTGTCATTTCAATCACTCTGGGAGGCTAATCAATGTCAGTTGAAGTTGAATCGCTGGAGTTGATTGGATAATGAAGTTCTTTCTTTTTTTTTCCACAGACATCTGGAGAACAATCAAATAAGTGTGATCGAAAGAGGAGCATTTCTGGAACTCCGACAGCTTGAGAGAATGTAGGTATAAAAATAGAGGAAATCATTGACCTGTCATGAGACATATTCCACATGTTTCTGTATGTGTGTTTTGGACAAAATAATTTGTAGCTGGATATGAGCAACATATTGACCTTGTCGGTTTTAATCTGAAAAATCTCCACAAACGCGCAAGGAACTTTGAGAATTTGGAGGTGACCTCCATATCTTTCCTTTTTTAAGTCCAGTGGGTTTACGTGCTTGTTTGCCCCCTGACATCTGGAGCGCAGCCATTTGCTCTTTTCCGGCTGAGAATCTTAACACTTGCCAGTGAAATTGACCATTGGGTCAGACCAAACATGCTAGCTATTACTGCAGTTGGACAAGGTCAAAGAATGTCTGGACTGTGGCTTGCCTGTGTTAGCATCCCTGAGTTTGTTTATGTGTGAATGTCTCAGTGCGTTTCATTCCTTGTAAATGTTTGCACGGGTCTGTCAGTGTTTAACTGAGCTGCCGCCACGTGTTAGAGATGAACGTACGTCAAAATCAGCAACCATCATGAAGAGAACTGAAGTTTGCCAGTTTGTTTATCATCTTTGAAGAATCTGTCTCTGTGGTGGTTTTGTGGGTCTGGTTTATCAGGGTCTTAAGAACTACATTCCTCAATGTATCACTCGTATTTGGAATTTCACAGCATTTAACTCAAATGACCCACTCTTGGCGGCGAGACGGCCAGTGTGTCCACATGCATTCCCTCCATCTGACACTTGAGTGTGACTTTTTGTTGTTGTTGTTGTAACCCAGCAGACATATACATAGCTTGACCCTACAATGAGAGTGCCTTAGAATTACTGATACAGAAACAAAAAGAAGAGAATGGTTTTCATGCAGTATGTTGTGACTTTGGAGCTAAAACATAGATAAAGTTTATAATCCATGGTTTAACAAGGGTCAAGTTTTAAGGTTACTTACCACTCCCACTGATCCCTCAAACTAAGGTCAATGACGAATAAGAGTATCCACAATACTAGCATATTTTTACAATTAAAGCCATCCCAGATAGCAAACTGACATTGAATCAACGTGGAAACATGACATCGAAACAACGTTGATCTGGCATTGTTTTGCTCATCGAATTAACGTTGAACCAACGTCAGACGCGTCATTCTTTCAAAACTAACGGAAAATCAACTTGAAATCAACGTTGTTTAAACGTTATAAAAGCAAACCAATTTTCGAATTTCATTTAGCTTTGAAGAATGTCGCGTCTGACGTTGGTTCAATGTTAATTCGATGAGCAAAACAATGCCAGATCAACGTTGTTTCAATGTCACGAGAGACGTCGTTTCCACATTGATTCAATGTCAGTTTGCTGTCTGGGATAGGAGCACCACGTTTTGAAAACTCCAGCAGGATGACAAGGAGCTGAGCGTCTACGAATTTCACACTGAGCTCTGAGCGCTGTGCGTTTTCTACCGGTCACAGAGACTTGAAGAATGTCCAACTATGGCGAAAACGCAATACTCATCACTGTCCATTTTTTGCCAACCATCAAAACACAGTGGAGGAGGGGCAAGACAAATACCACACAACCAACCGCCACATCCTGCTTGTACAACGGTAACAGACGACCGTTTTTGCTTATACACAGTTGTGTAAGCAAAGCACAACTGAAAAAAAAAGCTTAGTTCTAGTTCACACTACAAGATTTTAAAATGTCTGGTCAAACTGTGTGGTTCACACTACATGACTTGATCTCTGTGAAATCAGGAGTGTTGAAGTTGTTGAGCTGTTCACACCACACAATGTGATTGATCCGCAACGGGAGGTAACACACCACACGAGTTGACAACAACTCTGTCACCCAATGATTCTATCTTGTCTACAAACCACGTTTTGTCATGAAAAAAATCACGCGATTAAACAAACCGGAAATTACGCGAAACAGCACATGTGTCAAAACCCAGCGAAGAAGACGAAGAACACAACACGTGACTATGGACGTCAGACAGAAACTAGTGCTGCAAACTGTTTGCGCGATGATTTGCTCTGAGAAAATGCAAAAAAATAAGATTTACTCGGTGACCTCAACCCATGCCTTGTTCTGATTGGCTGTAGCTCATGACATCACTGAGGTTGAGTCATGCGAAAGCTCTGGATATCTAGCATGCTAGATATATTTTGGGCTCAGCGATGCATCTGCGAGGCATCTGCAAGCATCTTTGATGCGTTAACGCGATCTCACGACCAAGTTGTACGAATTCGACGAATGATTAAAAAGTGGCTAAATCGTAACAATTCATACGACCTCACTCGTACGAATTAGTACGATTTTGCTAAATCGTACATATTTTATGAATTGGCCAACTCGTATGAATTCATACGAATGACCTACCCCTTACTCCGCCCCTAAACCTAACCATCACTTGGGTTTAGACAAATCGTACAAATTAGACACTTTTTAATCATTCGTCGAATTCGTACGAATTGGTCGTGAGATAGTGTTGGCTCTTTCATACTAACAGTTTGGCGAGCGTTCATCGGCCGCAAATCCCCTGCAATTTGCACGTGATAACGATTTGCAAATTGGGTTTAAATCGGGCTTAAAATCATGTAGTGTGAACTAGGCTTAACTAAACCCTAACACAACTTTTATTTCAGTTAATGATCTGTAAGACTGTGGCTTTTATTAATGCTGTTCATTGATTCAAGTTAAATTTTTTTATATCTGTGTATAAAGTGTTTAAATTTTACAATACATTGTGTAAAACATCTGAGTGCTGCCCTCTTCAGGTTGAACTGTGGCTACTGCAGTTTAATTTTCCTATTGGATGTTGGGGTACTGCGTGACGTAAGCAGGTACCAGCCCACGCCCTTGCCTACAGAAAAAAATGCACGTCTCAGGTGCACGCCCCCCTCAGCTAGGAGTTTGCAGAAGAGTGTCTGCCATTTTCAGATGCTTTGGTGGACACACACGTCCTGAGAGAAAGGCAACTCTTCGCTTGTAGAATGAGTCTACTTGAAGACAGCAAGGAACCAAGTCATAGAGGTTGTAGATTCTCAAAAAGCAAAAAAAGTAATGTTCCTCCTCCACATACCTTTGGTTTGCTCCATGACCCTGCACCCTATCATCAAAACCCATACTCCTGTGATAAGGCTCATACCAAATCCCACAGTCCGTCTGGCCAGGCTCATGCGAGTGATAATAGCCTTTAAAGAGCACCACTGGAGATAACCTATGCCATCTTCAGAGGAAGTCCATTTATTTCCCATCAGCCCCTGCACATATGTGACTCCTGACCCCAGGATGTAGCTATTGGCCTGTCGTGATGTTGCTCATCCTGATAGCAATGCTGACCCGACTTGTTTCTTCAATTAGAAAGATGGATTAGTCTGTCCGTGTGTCGTTTGTGTTTGCCTTGTTGTCTCATCCATCTAGGTATTCAGATGCCTGCATGTCGATGTGCAAGTCAAACAACCTTTCCGTCTTTGTTTGGTTTTCGCTCTCTCTTTTGGCCTTGGATAATCTAACTACGCAAACACATACCCACTGATCTGTGCTCTGCGTAAGGTCATTCTCACAGCGTCTTAAGTTTTGTTTCTTACCTCCTGACGTTTTGACCACACTAACTCTTGCCCTTCCCCTGTCCTCTCTTCCTCACAGCCGCTTGAACCGGAACCGGCTGCAGGTCCTGCCGGAGCTGCTGTTCCAATCCACACCCAAGTTGGGCCGCCTGTAAGTCATCGCTTCCCTTTGATATCCGTGCCTGGAAAAGCTTGCGGTCAAACTTCCCACTGTTTGAATTTTGATCATTGTACTGGAAAGGATCTTGCTTAAATATTTGACTTTCCCAAACACTGTTTAAAGGACACTGTCAGTGTAGGGATATTCTGTGTTGTTCCTTCAGGCCGTCCAGATGTGATTCTTTCAGATCGACCCAGCCAAGCTTAATGTGACACAACCTCTCCCCGTGCTCTTTATGGAGAGGAGAAGGTGTGCTGGAGGGAATATTTTTCTTGGATAAACGGCATTCTTATTCTGAATATTTTCCTGCTCTGCTTTGAATCAGGGACATGTTTTGGCTGAGCTGTCGGGGAATACTTCATTTATGAATTTACAGTCATCAATGAAACTAGTGCGATCAGGTCAGGCCCGTGCCGGAGCAAAGGTTAAGCTTTACTAGTGTTTATTTGAAGCCGATTGTGACACGGTAGTCACTCTACAGCACCATTAAGTTCTGCGAGCAGCTTCGTGTTTCTCAGATGTTTCCACGAGGCAGAGGAGATTAGATTGGTTGGCCCTGGTGCTGGCATTTGAAGCTTTTTATGTAATAGTTTCCCTGGTTTGAAATATTACAACACACAAGTGCTTTTCCTCGTCATTCACAACCACAGTACATTTGCTGATATACTGTATGGCACATGGTTGGTCACAGCAGTCAAGACTACAAATCTGTTTTACAGCCAACTCATAGAACATGCATTTCATAGCTTGATTTTAAAAGGCATTATGAGGACTAGCATTGGAAATTACAGTCTAATTTCCACACTAATTCCTGCCATTTCATGGAAGAATATACTATTCTGACTGAGACCGACAAAGACAAACTAATAATTATTTCATAATCGATCTTGGCTGATAACAATAATAAAAATAGATTGTATAAATCTTCATAAAAATCAATTGATAATGATATTAATGATGATATTAGAAACTTGTCTGTATTTTTATCCACTGAGGAACTGTCAGTCAACTTAGGACATATCATTCTCCTTTCCAACAGCAAATCTAAAATCTAAAGTACAGCATGTTTGTTCCCTCTTGTTTTAACATTTGCTAAATGTAAACCGGAGTACGCCTAATGAAAGTTGTTTAGGGCGGGAGAGGTTTATGGCAGGGCTTGTAACCTTGCCTTGTCAGGGTTCATTACACTGGTTGATGTTAGTGCGATATGAGCGGTCTCACCCGTAACCTTCCCATTAAAAAACTTCAAGCCCGGCCAGCTGGGGAAAGCAAGCCGACCGCGTCGCACGCGGGAAGGGTTAGGCGGAGCGAGGCTGGGGCTGACCGTGGCCAGCAGGACTGGGAACACTGACAGGGGTCAGGGAAAGGTAAGGAGCAAAGTTTTAACGCTGAGTAAGACTGAGGATGGAGTGGAATGAAATGGGAGCAGGGGGCATTGCGGATGAATAAGGAAGGGAAAAGAGAGGGTTGAGACAGAGAAAGACCGGTCTGTGGGTCGTGGGGGAAGAGCCCTGCAGAGACGTGTGCGGTAATGACTGCCGGAGGCCATTTGTGGTCAGCACTCTCTACAGCCTGGAAAGATTGTGGTTACAGTTGCAGATTTCACTGTGCAGACTCAGAAATGTACCTCCTACTCAGTGCAAGCATACTTGTACACTCTTTATCTGGGGGTGTGGTCAGGTTTCTAGATGTTCTTCCATCCTCGCCCTGTTCTTAGAAGGCTAGATCTTTCTGTCTAGCCGTTGAAACCGAATAATGAAAAGCGAATGACGAATTAGAAGGCAGTCACGAATATGCCTGCTCGTATTTATTAATGGTGCAGCTAAATGGGCCCCTATATTAACTTCAGTTCCTTTTCTGAGACAGGCCTCTGCACTGGAAATGTAGGATATTTCAGACAGTGATACCCATGAGACTCAGTCACTCCCTGCCATTACCCAGAGCTCAGGTTGCATGTGATTGGTGCATTAAGAGGAATAGGAAAGCCGAATGCATCATCTTGTCTTATGTCCCCTTCCCCTCAGCCAATTTTAAACTTTCCCTCTTTAATCTTCCGGGTACAATTATCCCGGCAGAGACGAGCAGTTAGCCTGCATGAAATGACCACCAACCAGCGGCTATGGCCTTTCATAACTACATAGATTGATTGAATCTCGAGTTTGCCTGATTGGAGTGTCGAGGTTGGATTTTACTAGAGTTGAGCCGAATACTCGGCTGAAACGAGTATCCGGTACGGATAAAGCACTTTTGTCAAGTACGAATATTATACGAGTAATACGAGTCAATATCTGTGCTCGGATAAAAAAAAAAAAAAAAAAAAAAAAAAAATTATGTTGAGATTAAGGCTGAGCGATATATCAATATAAAGAATATATATATTTTTAAATGTGATATGTAATTAGACCATATTGCATATCGATATAGGCTATTCAGGTTTGCGCTGTGATCCTTGCTCCAAGCAAGCTGCTGAGTGCTGACCCAAAGCTCTCTGCACTGCTCCCCGCGCCCCAGCCACTCCTTTTCCACTTTGCGTGCTTGATTAAAGCATGTTATGTTATGAAATAAAGTCTTTCACCTCAGCAAAACGGACTTTCTGTCCTGTCAGCCGTTATACTGTAACGTTAGTCGTAGCACACACTCAATTGCACGCGCAAATGCGGCGACGCGCGCTGGATCGCCTCTGTATATAAAGTGCAAAAGAAACTATACGAGCATGTAAATTACACGAAATAAAAGCAATGCATTTATGATTTTCATTCTATTCACCAGGAGCAGTTTCCATGTTTCATAAATAGTTCTTGTTAGTATTGTGTATTCACTATTCACCATGGTAACTGTCGTTTCTATATTAACCCCTTAATGCCCCTATTTTTCTTTGTGTTATTTTTTATATTTTTTTTTAAATGACTGTAATGGCTCATACCAACGTTGTATTAACAAAATAAATAAACCAATTAATAAATCACAATTACAATTCCAAGGGAATAATCTGCAATTAAGATTTTTGTCATAGCTAATCATGCAGCCCTAAGGTGAAGAAACCTGTTTATTATTTATTCATTTGATTTAGCAAATGTTCAAGTTTCAATAAAACTACTTGTGACATGTCATATTTGGCTTTGACTGAACATTTGCTCTCACTTTGCAGAAAAAAATATTGCCTAAATATATATCGGGATATGACTTTTGGTCCATATCACCCAGCCGTAGTTGAGATGAAAACTCTTGTTCATTACATTTTACTTCATAATTGCAGCCACATGTGTTGTATTCATTGTTGCAAAACTTGTTCTGTAGTTCGTTTGTTATCGTGATCAAAACCATTGATCTGAAGCTCAATGCTGATGCTGTCATGTAAATAGTTTTATTTCTTATCAGCAATAAATATAGCAATTTCAGATCAACCCATATCAATTGCATGCTTAAAATAACATACCGGTTAAAGCCCCGCCCATTTCAAGACTACCCGACCCACTTCCGGGTTTAGGCCCCGCCCAGTCCGAGTACAGATACAGATACAGATAATTCATATGGTTAACAGATACAGATACAGATACAGATAATGCTGTACTCGCTCATCCCTAGATTTTACCCTCCCTAGTTTTTGCTTCACGGATTACGTATTTTGTTTTTCTCCTTTCCCTGACAGGTTTATGTTCCTTTTGAGCGTTTGTTTTCATTTATTTATCAGAAACAAATCGCTCTCCCACACATCAAGTTTTCTCCCTGCGTGTTTTGGGTGGTTTGGCCTCCTCAGCCTTGCAAACACAAACCATCTTTCAGCTCCAGACTGAATCCCAAACATAACTCCTGAAGTCTGCAGCCCCTCTAAAGCCATTTAGCTCATCGGTTCCCTTATGTCGAGTTCAGACTGCACGATTTTAGCCACGATTTTGGCTCGCCGACAGGTTTTGAGAAATCGCCGACAAATGCCTGAAATCTACATTTACATTTAGCTGACGCTTTTATCCAAAGCGACTTACAATTGCTTTATATGGAAGAGGTTGCACGCCTCTCGAGCAACTAGGAGTTAAGTGTCTTGCTCAGGGACACATTGGTGTCTTGCGGTGGATTCGAACCTGAGTTTCTCACACCAAAGGCATGTGTCTTATCCACTGCGCCTGGTGATGATATCACAGGCAAATCGGTGCTCGTTCACGCGAGTGAAAATCATGCAGTGTGAATGAGCAAAGACGCGATCTGAGAGAATCGCCCATGAGATATTTGGCATGCTAAATATCTGGACCTGTCGGCGATTCAAAATCCTGCTGTGTGAAAAGTGTTCTGACTGAAAAGTACATCGGCGATTACCGACAGCCAATGAGAGAGCAAGATACAGAGCAGCGGGGAGTTCGGGGAGGAGTTATAGATCACGTATCAACAAGCATGTCATTGTTTCAGAAAAAGGCTTCTTCTCTGTCTATTTGGACCCAAAAAATGGAAGAAAAATTAGTAGAAATTTGGCAGGAGCACCCGTGTCTGTTTGACGTTTCATCTGAGCTGTATCACAACTGGGACGTAAAAGAAAAAGTCTCATGTGAGAACGTGTGATGTCGCGTTGTTTCCTTGTCACATCTCGCTTGTGTTTGTTTTGAAATACGCAGTTTGCACGCAGAGTGCTAGTTGTCGGCGATTCTTCCTATTGTAAAGTCATGCAGTGTGAAACCTTCTGTCGCCGATCCATCGTGCAGTGTGAACACAGTAGCGACTGAATGCTGGCCAAGAAAGTCATGCAATGTGAAAAGAACAGTGACCCGACTACTTTGAAAATTATGCAGTCTGAAATCGGCATAATTAGCATGATTTAAAATAATTGCAGTTGTTTTACAAAATGCACTGTGCTTTTAAAGTCTTGTAATGACATTTTACAACACAGTTAAGTGATTGGTTAATGACTTATTTACACTGGACTCTGCTTTACCTTGGAACATCATTCGAAACCTGTATGATTTTCTTTCTTTTGTTGATCACAAAAGGAGAATTTTTGGTAA